TTCTCATCCTATCTATTTCATTCTTAGAATCATGGGAGTTGTAGTTCAGCACCATCTGGAGGGCCAGGGTTTGGGGAAGCTTGGTTTAGAGATTAAATCCTTTTGGTTTGGTGAGAGTGTGGTGGTGTTGATGTACTCTAAGTATGCTGTGGATTCTTCTACAGAATCGTGATATTGCTCTGTGTCTCTGGAAAAGACCTTATGCATGTCTGAGTTTCTGCAAGGTAGACTATGGAGGAAACTATCTACCCTTAATACTGGACACTATAATTGTATTGAATTTTAACCACTTGCATATTTTTAAACTATGTATCTCTAACCACCATTTCTTTGTCATTGTATCTTAACTGGATGTGCTTGTTCTTTAATATATATATATGTGTGTATATATGTATGTGTGTATGTATATATAATATATATGTGTGTGTGTGTGTGTGTATATGTTTCTATGTTTTATAGTTAAATCCCCTCTCATAATATTGTAAAGCGCTACGGAATCTGTTGGCGCTAAATAAATGGCAATAATAATAATAATAATATGTGTGTGTGTATGCGTGTTTCCTCATACATACATATATTCTGAAGTTTGTCTTGTCCTGCATGCTAAAGCTAGTTGCTCACTGCCCTGCTCATCACTGATTTGTTAACTTAAATGTTATTCAATATTCTGCTTATCTCTAAAGACTTTCTCTGTTATTTCTGCTCCCCCCCCTTATTTTATTGATACCCACCCGAATGTCTTGCTTGACCAATCCTCACCTCCTCTGTGCATCTCCATTCCATAGCTTTTATTGCAGTCCTGTTTTGACCCTATCATCTCAGTCTTCCACAGTCCGAGTTTTAAAAGACCACTTCTGGCAAACCTGAACAGTGCTCAGATTCCTGCCCACCCCTCCCCTCACCACCCCACCCCAAGTTCCTTACTACATTTATAGATAGAATCCCACACACAACTTTAGATAATTCCAAAGAGCAGCTGCAAACACTACCAGTAATGAGCACAATACACCTTTTTAACCCCTAACACTCAGTCCTTCTCACTTCTGCTCATTCTCTTTTACTCTAAATGCAATGCTCTATATTCTCCTCCTCTCCTCTCTCATCTCCCTCAGGATCAAAATATCACTTCCCTCAACAACACACTCACATTTACATTAATCCTTCTTTGCTACACTCCCCTCTTCTCTCATCTCAAGCCCTGCACTCATTTCTCGGCTAGGGTGAGATTGGGTTATTCTCTCTCTCCTGCTCTAACCCAATCTCACCCTAGCCGCCGCCCATATAAAACCCATTCACACCTCCTGTCACTATCTCTCCTCCTACTTCTGGCAGCTGGTGATGTCTCTCCCAACCCAGGGCCCCTCACCTCATCTGCTCACACTAAAATAACCAGAAACCATGCAAACCTCCTCCAAATACCCTGCAGTTTATCCTCCTCTACCAAAATTCAGTGTGTACTCTGGAACGCTCGCTCCATTTGTAGTATTATCAAATCTACAGCTATACATGTCCTCCTCATCTCTAACTCACTCACAATACTGGCACTCACTGAGACCTGGCTGTCCCCATCCGATACCGCTACTCCTGCTTCTTTATGTTTCGGTGGTCTACAGTTCTCCCATACTCCTAGACTCGACTGTAAAGGAGGTGGTGTAGGCATCCTTCTCTCCCCTCAATGTACCTTTCAACCTATCCTCCCTGCCCCTGCCCCTGCCCTATCCTTTACTTCCTTTGAAGTTCACACTGTACGCCTTTTTAAGCCCACTCCTTTAAGAATTGCCATCATCTATCGTCCCCCCAGTCACACTAAACTATTTATTGAACACTTTTCCTCCTGGTTACCCCACTTTCTTTCCTCTAGCACTCCATCTCTCATACTTGGGGACTTCAATATCCCTATCAACAAGCTCAACTGTCCTGATGCCTCTTGTCTGCTCTCTGTAACCTCCTCCTTTGGACTCACACAGATTTCTTCCTCAGCAACTCACACTGCAGGAAACACTCTTGACCTCATCTTCACCAATCTCTGTACCACCTCTGATCTCGACACTGTTCCATTTCCTTTGTCTGACCACCATCTGCTAACATTTAACATCTGCATACCCCATACCAAAATTTCACCACCATCAACTCACCAATCTCGCAGAAACCTCAACTCCCTTGAACTCCAGCACTTCTCCACCAAACTCCAAACACTCCTTTTACCCATCTCAAATCTCAACTGGCCTAACTCTGCAACCTCACTCTACAACTCCACTCTCTCCTCTCACCTTGACATCATGGCACCTCCTACATTTAAACGCAGCAAGCGCCCCCAACTACAACCCTGGCACACCAAGCTGACCCGTTACCTCCAAAAATGTTCCAGAACTGCTGAACGCTGCTGGAGAAAGTCTCACTTTGCATCTGACTTTGTCCACTATAAAATTATGCTGCGCTCCTACAGAATGGCTCTTTCCTCTGCAAAAGTAAACTACTTCAACACCCTCATAAACACACTGTCCCATCAACTCAAACACCTGTTTCACACTTTTGATGCTCTTCTTCGCCCTGTGACTCCCCCTCCTTCCACCACCTTGTCCGCCACAAACTTTGCATCTCATTTCACTGAGAAGATCTCTACAATCAGGAAAGAGATCTCTAATCTCCCTCCTACCCCTCTCAATACATCACCCAACCCCACTCCCCCGCCATCCTATGCTCATTTGCACCTGCTACAGCACAAGAGGTTTCTGCTCTGCTCCTATCCTCTCGCTAACATTTTCAATCTCTCCCTTTCCTCTGGCACATTTCCCTCACCCTTCAAACATGCAACCGTAACCACAACTCCCCATCCAACTACCGCCCTATCTTGCTACTGCCACTTGCCTCCAAGATCCTCGAGAGAGTTGTGTACCCCAGATTGACAGACTTTCTTGAATCCAACTCTCTGCTTGACCCCTTTCAGTCTGGATTCCGCACTGGTCACTCTGTCGAAACTGCTGTGACCAAAGTATCCAATGATTTAATTGCTGCTAAATCTCGCGGCCAATACTCTATCCTAATCCTCCTTGATCTTTCTGCCGCCTTTGACACTGTTGATCATCAACAGCTTCTTCACATTCTCCGTTACTTTGGTCTATGGGATACTACTCTCTCCTGGTGCTTCTCCTACCTCTCCCAGCTTTCTTTCAGTGTTTCTTTCTCTGGCTCTACCTCTTCTCCCCAACCCCTCTCTGTCGGCATCCCCCAAGGTTCTGTCCTCGGCCCCCTACTCTTCTCTATCTATACTGCCTCCCTTGGTAAACTCATCAGCTCCTTTGGCTTCCAATATCATTTATATGCAGATGACACGCAAATCTACCTGTCCTCCCCTGATCTCTTTCCGCCCACCTTGACTCGTGTTTCTGACTGCCTCTCTACTATTTCCAACTGGATGGCTGCTCACTTCCTTAAACTCAACCTGTCCAAAACAGAACTTCTAGTTTTTCCTCCCTCAAGTGCTGCTACTCCTGTGTCTGTCTCCATCCAAGTCAACTGCGCTACTATCACCTCTACCTCGCAGGCTCGCTGCCTAGGGGTTCTTTCTGATTCTGATCTCTCTTTTACTCCCCATGTCCAATCGATAGCCAAATCCTATCGCTTCCAACTCAAGAACATAGCGCGCATCCGCCCATATCTAACGCCGGACGCGGCTAAGGTACTGGTTTATGCTGCTGTTCTCTCTTGCCTTGACTACTGCAATCCCCTTCTCACCGGTCTTACATGTTCCCAGCTTGCACCGCTGCAATCTATAATGATTGCGACTGCAAGGCTTATTTTCCTATCTGGTCGCACCTCCCACGCCTCCACACTCTGTCAGTCCCTGCATTGGCTTCCAGTTAGATATAGGGCCCAATTCAAAATTCTGGCGCTTGCTTACAAATCCCTACATAATGCTGCTCCAAAATACCTATCCTCCTTCATACACAAGTATGTCCCGTCTAGACCCCTGCGCTCAGCCCAAGACCTACGCCTATCCTCTGCCCGGATCCCCACCTCTGATGCTCGCCTTCAAGACTTCTCCAGGGCTGCACCTATTCTGTGGAACTCCCTTCCCTCCTCAATCAGACTTTCACCCAGCCTCCACTCCTACAAAAAATCTTTGAAAACTCACTTCTTCATTAAAGCTTATCAATTAAACTGTCAGCAGGTTTCTCATCTCCCTCCCCATGACTCCTTTCCTGCAACTGTCAAAAATGACCTACCAAGCACTCAATAAACCCTTCTCTAACAAACTATGTAATTCCCCTACTTTAACCCTTTGTGTCTCTATACCCCACTCCCTCTAGCATGTAAGCTCATCGAGCAGGGCCCTCAACCCCCTCTGTTCCTGTTCGTCCAGTGGTCTGATCTCAATAATGTGTCTGTTAGTCCACCCGTTGTACAGCGCTACGGAATTTGTTGGCGCTATATAAATAATAAAATAATAATAATAATAATATAGCTTCTCGTAAAAGGAAGCAAATTCATTACTAATAGCTTCTGGGAAGATGAGTTTTACATTTGTGTCCGATCTGATGTATGGGATCCTGGATCTAGCATGTAAATCTTTCAGCGAAGTAGCTCAGTTACCTTGGTTGTAGTGAGAAAGCTTTATTTTTTTCATCAGGAAACTGGTGTGATGCAAATGTGCCTCTTGCATTTTCTTTTGGATTTTTTCTAAGGTGTTTGGTAGATTTTATTAGGTTTTGTTTGTTTGCCTTGGAGCCGCTTGATCCATTTTATGAGTTTGGATTAGAAGGGGCGTATAATGGGTGCGGCCTGTCTTATAAACTGACCTCGTAGTTTAGCAGACGCTTTTGGGTGTAGTTGCCGACTGGATGTCCCACTGTCTCATTAGTTGTAGGCCACCTTCTAGGTTTAGTACTGAGAATGTCTGCCCGTTGCAGGTGATTAGAAGCCGGATGGGGACTGCCATCTTTAAGGGATTTGTTGCTTCCGCAGTGCTGTTGTCACAAGAGTGATGATTCTTCTCTCTCCTAATGTAGCTTCAGAAATATCTGCAAAAATTGTAAATCTTTATATGCTTCAGTCAGGGATTTGGCATTCCTACTGGCTCTAAGTATCTCTTCTTTTATGTGGTGGTAGTGGGCACGAAACAGTATGTCTTTAGGCACTGAGGCTGGTGCTGCACGCGCTTTTGCTACTCCATGTATGCAGTCTAGGAGGAGCATTTTGGCAGGGCATATAGTTTGGAATATACCTGTAGCCAAAGCCTGCAGGCCTCCCACTGCCACAGATTCCGGCATCCCTCTCAGCCTCAAGTTGTTCCGGCGGGATAGGCCTTCTAGATCAGCGAGTTTGGTGTCATGTGTGGACAGGTGCAACTCTATTTGCTGGATTTTAGTTACCAGGGAGTTGTGTGTGGTCACTTGCTTTTCCACTTTGGTTTCCAGATGTGCCATCCTGTCACCAATGCCGTGGATTTCCTTTTTCAGCTCCAAAATGGATGAGTGGAATTGGGCTAGCAGTTGTTTGGATTGTGCATCCAGCATCTTTTGTAGGATGGATGGCATTATTTGGCCTTCTCTATCTTGCAAGGAAGGTAAAAGGGAGCATGAGTCCTGGCTATCTCCAGATTCGTGGTCGCCATCTTGGAGGCCTACCTGGAGGCCCGGTGGCTTTTGTTGGTTTTTAGCCGTAAAAAAAGGTTGCTCTGTCTCCCTTTTCCTTTCCTTTGTGGTGGGGGGACATCGTCCCCTGTAAGTGTTTGATGAGTTTTGCAGGAGATTATCAAGTAAGGCACTCACTCTTTGTCCACCTGGCACAGAGCTCTGGTCTCATGCAGCCATCTTCAACGGCTCTGCCCACCTACGTCCAACATCTTTTATGTAGTATAGCGCAAAGACATACACAGGAAAACAATACATTTTAAATATTGCATGTATACAATATAAAGAATAGCATGCATATTATATTTGCGTAGCTCAGGAAGACCAGACATAAACTAACAAACTGTCAGAAACAGTGTAAAACTGTATCATTGGCAATTTGTGTGCCAAGTAACTCAAAATATTTACTTGAATCAGGAAATATAATTGATAAACATGGGTGTTAGGCAGATGGAACCCATCATCTCAAACGGCAATGTAGAAAAACCTTTAGAGCACATTTAACAGCAGATATATCAGTCACAACAAGCTGTTTGATTTTCTGTTAACACATTTCACAGAATGTGACTTGACACTCTTTTGCTCATCACAGATTTACTTGACAAAATAATATTTCAATCATCCCTGAATGTTTAATACTTAGCAAATGAATTTCAACTGCAAGGCAGCATAATTTGAGAGATAATCACAAAGGATTCCTTACAAACCAGATATTAAATCCCATAAGAATTCTATTTAAGATGTTCAACTAGAAGAGTAAGTAAAGAGCATGAGCAAAGTTATATTACTTTGTGATACAAAGTCAATGAGATGGAAACAATATTTTGTTCTCGATTTGCATTCCTCCCTCCCGCTGTGTTAACTTAAATTACATTAAGATGTTTGTCATCTGAAAACTAACAGATGGTTGTTTAAAGATGATACCTATGATGGATAATTGGAGTTTAAAGATGATGATATTGATCCAAGGATATCATACAACATATGAAAGCCTTCATACCTATTGTCTATTGTAAATCAGGTATGTCAGGTTATATGCAGTTTCATTTATTGTCTCATGAGGCAGAATATTTTTTTTCTACACAAATGAAGCTGAATTACAATTACCAACATTAAAGATCTGTTAAAATACATTTTAGAGGTTTCAAACAGAAAAAAAAGTCATAAGAACAAGTGTTCTTTACAGCTATTTATGTTTGAGGCTTTGTAAAATGATCACAATTTTCTATATTGCACAACCACAAGATGATCTTGTTTTATCCATCCGGTTTTCAGTGTGGCTGTTACTCACGCAATATACAACTAACAATAAGAAGGACATACATGGGGAGAGGCACACAATCCACTCATAGAGTAGCATGTTAATTGCAACAGTTTTAGTAATCAAGTAAATTAAAAATGGACTCATATATAATAAAATCTTTTCAGCGGGTCACTAGTGTCTTGCTAGTAAAAAGTGATTCCTTCGGCTGGGTGATTCTACCCTCACACTGGTCCTGTGGTACGCAGCCTTGTCCCTATGTTGGTAGATCTGAGCTGACCTCCTTGGGTTTCATAATCTGGTTTTACATTTTTAGAAGGTTGATTCGCCACACGCATTCCGCCCTCAACTGGGGCTTTGTCAATAGCATATAGCTTATTTCTGCATTGCCTAAATAGTCAGATAATGCATAAAACATTAGATAAGTGGTAGTTTGCTAAAAACAAATATTAAAGCTATAAGTTAAATGGGATGTTTTCAAGTTTTTTGCAGTTACTCACAAACATTCCTTTTTCATATCAACTTGTATTACCGGAATTTAAACTAATTTGAAGGCTTCTGTACACCACATTGCCACAGCAAGGTGTCTTATATGGAATAAATGCTGTTTTTTTCTTCTATTAGTGCTACATTAACAATAATAATAACATTATTACTGATTTAGAAAAGTAGTTACTTCATTTTTAAAGGGATACTGTAGTGCCAGGAATACAAAGCTGTATTCCTGGCACTACCGATCCCTCGCCCCCTTGTAAATAAAGGGTTAAAAACACCTTATTTACTTACCTTACCCTGGCGCCAATGTCTCTCGGCGCTGAGTTGAAGCTCCGCCCCTCCTCCATCCCGCAACAAACAAGGTCTTATGCGCATGAGCTGCAAATTAATTAAATGAATGCTTTCCTATGGGGAAAATGACACTAGAGGTCCTCATGCAGAGTCCATTACTATTCCCAAAGCACCCTGGTAGACAGCCGCTGAGGGCAGACTTAGTCCTGAAATGTAAAGATTCCAGTTTCTCTGGAACTGCAATGTTTCACATTGCCGCACTAGGTGCAAAGGGGATACAGCACCCGGACAGTGTCTACAGTGTCCCTTTAAGATAAAAAGGGAAAAAGCAAGGAGTATGGCACTGGTTGAAATAGGATTGAGTTTGTGACTTTGTGTGTGGCTGTGTGGATGTGATCAGATATTGATTTGTAACAGGTTGGAACTGTGACATGTTGCCTGACTTGTGAATGCAGTTAAATATTGGCTTGGTAAATGAAGCTGATGAGAGAGACATTACAAACATGCACACTGTTAACAAGCTAGATAGATGGGTGACTGTAAATAGAATCCCCAGGAGTTGCAAAGAGCAATTCCACCTTCAAAAGTGAGATGCCTACACCCTGAACACCCTTTTAGCTAACCCCTGACTTGAAGAGCAAATAAGAACCAGAGATAGCACTCTAATACAGTTGTATGCATTAAAACAATTGCGTTTTATGATCATTACAGACAGGATGATGGCCTTTGCAAATTTCCACTTTCCAAGTCAATGATTTTTACATGGTTATTCAACTGTGATTTATCAGGAATTCAAAATAAATTTCACATTTTATGTCTAAATAGTCAAAATGTAAAAGTCGACTTATCAGATCACTGTCAAATGCATTTACTTGAATTTAATTTGGAGCTTTCTAATCTATAGGTTCCAACCTTTAGATGAATACAATGATATTGCTAAAATAGAACTGTCATTGCTGTGAATAAGCATATTATTTAAATGGTCGAACTGGTAAAGATCAACAAAGATTGAGTTAGTTCATTATTGTGGCCATCCTACTGTAAAACACTCTAAAGATTATTCAACTTGCTTAAGTCAACTATAGGTTTGGTGCACCAATATCTTACTTCTGCATCGCTGCAGAATTCAAAATGAGTACACCTCATCACCCCAGGTAGACTTTTGCACTGCAAAGCACTTTGTCTGAAAAAAAAAAAACATTTTCAGAATGGCCACATTTGGCCATTTGGCAGTTCAGCTCATTTAAAAAAAGATTTGAGAAAACTAATCAGATGAACCAAAAGAGAGTGAAAATGTGAAATATATACCTGTACATAATATAAATATTATATGTTTATATTTTGCAGTACACTGATAGGCACATTTGGTTCAAGTGAGAAGTAGTAACCAACAGAGGAAAAAGGATCAGAATCAGTAAAAAAAAAAAAAAAAATCTATCATTACATATTGTATATATTATTATTATTATTATTATTTTTATATAGCGCCATCAAATTCCATAGAGCTTTACATTGGGTGGACTAACAAACATGTTACGGACAAGTTTAGCGCACAGAAACAGAGGGGTTGAGGGCCCTGTTCAATGAGCTTACATGATAAAGGGAGTAGGATAAAGTGACACAAAAGGTAAGGGAAGTATTAGGGAAGTAGATTGGTAGAATAGTATTCAAAGAAGACTTAGTGAGGGTTTTTTATATATACGATAAAAAAAGAAGTAAATATAGATGATAGATTATAGATTTTTTTTAACTTATTTCTCCCTTTTATTGGTCACTTCTCACTTAATCTGAGCATCAAATCAACATTTTGTGAGTGTTCCAAGCCATCAACCATCTTTCAAGTAAGAGAGTATACTGTGATTGCAATAGTTTCCCTTTGCTATCTTGTATTAATGAAAAATGGGGAACAGGAGACATTTTAGTTAAGAAAAGGTGAACATGAGGGTAAGACATTTGACAATAATCAAATGCCATACTGGAAGCCAGTTGAATTTTTGAAGAAGGGTTAGGAATGAGCAGAATACATGATATGGAGTATGCGAGTAGAATCATTTTGGGTTTGTTGAAACAAAGTAATGGAGTGTTGCAGAAGAAAATGTAGAATTGGTTACAGTAATCAAGCCTGTTAAAGATATGGGAGTAGATAAGGAAGGTTGCAGTTGAGAATGTCAGTAGGGGCCAGATATTCTGAATGTTAAATAGATTAAATTAAAATGACAGACAGAAGTAACAGTATCTATATGTTTTTTTTAAAGAGTAATTAGAAGCCAGAGATTACCCCAATTTGGGAGCTAATGGTGATGAGGAGATAGTGAGAGGTGAAAAATGGAGATTGTAGTTTGGAATGAGAGGTAAGAGGGAATGTGCAGGAAAGCAGAGCACTTCATTATTTTCCAGGTTTAAATGAAAGAAAATGTTATGGCATACATTGGGCAATGTCAGAGAGGCGTGAAGAGATGTGGGATGAAAGATTGGATATAAAGGAAGGAAAAGAGAGGAAGTCTGCATGTCATCAATACATTGGCATTAAAGCCATGTGAGGAGATGAAGTCAGACAGTGGGGGCATATAGAGTGAGAAAAGGAGAGGTCAGAGAAATATATAGGTAACTCAGTCTTAAATACGATTCAATAACACAAGAAAAATCTCATGTCTCGTACTCAAAGTTGTTTCAAGTGTCCATGGCAGTAGCTATCTAGCTTTATGCAGCAACAAGCTAAGCCTAGTCTCACACTAGTTAGAATCAATTACCTAGGCTATCTCCCATTCCCACACAGGCATATCAAGTATAAAATACAATGTACCCCTGTTGGTCTGTCTTTTTCAGTAGTTGCAGTCAAATTGTCTGGAAAAATCATCCTTGTAAGGATTGATGCTTCTACTGTTTCTTCTTTGTTTTATTGGTCAATTGCTATTCCCTAACAATCTGTTTATTTTTGGATAGGAGAATCACCCCAACTGATTGGGCAGACATCTTGTCTATCATGCCAAATTAATGCCTCAAACTCCCCCCTCCA